GAATTTCTTTCCATTTTTCTAGGGAAGTACAAATAATAGCTTCCTAAAATTTGTTATCAGGCTTTATATCTGCATGCTGTACTATTTGACATGGTTTTAAATTCATCGCTAATCAACTTCTTGTTAATTGAATACTTGTACACATGTATAGTATTCTAACACATACAGGAAATGTATAAAACTTTGTCACATTTTTCTTGGGAACTACAAATAAGGGCTTCCTGAAATTTGTTTCCAGCCATTATGTAAACATGTAATATGTTTCCAGATTATTCTCTCTTCACCTTCCTGATTATCAAAAACTTAAAGCGGGGTAATCATTAATGAGTAAAAGCTCACAGTTCTAGTTGTATTACACACATTAACATCTTTTTAGTATGCATCTCGTATCAAAATATCTTTTTGGGTTAAGCTGTTGCTGCTATCTAGAATATTAATGAGGATATTTTGGCAGTTTTTGTTGTTTTGCACAAAATGTTAGAACTTTGAATTAAGCCCTAATGCCAATATGTGAGACAAAATTCAAAATTATACACCTAAAGATATCTTCCAGCAGAGATCTCCATGGATGAAAATTTAATCATGGAGGAACTTGCACCTGGACAAAACCAAGCACATCATGATTGAAATTATTTTGTTCCTCTGTTTCATTTTAAGGAATACCCAGACTCACCGTGTAGAACACCACATGCAGGGTGTTGGCTATGTTTGACACTGGGTGGCGGTTTTGAATAGGAGAAAAGAAAATCAAAGTAAGTAAAAGTATCAAAATTTTGTTAGCACCAAATAATATATTGCACGGAAGTAACCAAACCAAAATTTATTTCCAGCAAGCAGAAGCAGACGTTTCCAGTGCTCTGTTTTCTCAAACACCTCTCCCTAGTTTTCTGTGTTGCAGATATTGTGACTTCAAATGCAAGTTTGAGGATAAAAAACTACTTTTGGTGATTTTTTCCCGTATAATTTATATAGAAATGAATTCCTATCATAGAATTTAACCAAATGCCAGCTTCTTAGTCAAAATTTATTGTTTTTAAAGTGACAAACTTAAGGTATTTTATTTGGCCCAGCGGAAACTGGTGAAGAAATTTGATGAAGTGTAGGTGTTTGTGGCTTTGGTTTCGGGTTAATCTTATAAAGAGGTCTGCTTTATGATTTTGCTCCATGTTTTAGTGTATTAAGCCAGAGCCGTGACTTATTCCTGACCATGATAGTAAATGAAAAGGAAAACAAATCATGTTCAGGTTTAAAACAAAACACTTTGAGGCTTTTTCTTTATTTCTAACATTAGAAATGCATGTTACTTAAAAAACTAAAATATGGGCCAAATGAAATACCTTAAGTTTTTAATGAGTCATCATAACAGAGTATGTGTGTTTGAATTACAAACTATCAGATAAAGACCGAATTATAGGCAAATCTATCCTTATTTTAAGAAATGCTCACCCCCTTGAGACGCAAAATCTGACACCCCGAGGGACACGTTACATTTCGATGAAAAATTCTTTAAAAACTAAGTTTTGACTAAGAAGCTGGCATTTGGTTAAATTCTATGATAGGAATTCATTTCTATATAAATCATAGGGGAAAAAATCGCCAAAAGTAGTTATTTGTCCTGAAACTTGCATATGAAGTCTCAAAATTGGAAAACTAGGGAGAATTGTTTGAGAAAACGGAGCACTGGAAACGTCTGCTTCTGCTTGCTGGAAATAAATTTTGGTTTGGTTACTTCCGTGCAATACATTATTTGGTGCTAACAATTCTCAAAAAAGATATTTTGATACTATTACTTACCTGGATTGCCTTTTCTCTGATTCTAAACCACCATCCTGTGTCAAACATAGCCAACACCCCACATGTGGCGTTCTACACGGTGAGGCTGATTTATTGTTTATTATATTAATTTCACTATATAATAACAAAAATTTTCATTAATGGTCATTTGTAACAATTGCAATATCAAGTCTGGCTCTTAGTCAAGGATGACCACATTTCAGATGTCCTGTTTCCATGAAAGTCATTGCCTTCAGGAGGTTCCTCAGATTTTCTCTTTCTATTTTGGTTATTCTATTTGGACTTAAAAATCTTGGTAGTTTTTCTCACTGTCAAATTCAAATCTGTATCGATGATTTGCAGCATCCACAACAAGAATTTTCGTACACTTTTTTGTGAAATGTTGAATAAAATATTTGGGGCGGGCAATAATTTAACACTGAATGATTTAATGACCTAAAATTGCAAATGCCATAGTAATGGACCATGTAACTTGCATCTTTCGATTTTTAATGTAAACTGGATTTATTAAATTTATTGTAAACTACGAAATGAATTCGGAATTAGGATACAAATTTCTTTAGATTATAAAGGTGTTAGACCACCAATTCAAAACCCCTATTTAATCAACCATATTAAAATTTTCACAGCTTCCTAAATATTATACCTTAAGTTTAAATTCATAAAAAACAGGTATATTCTGAATTGTACATGTATCACCTTTCTATATGCCAATTTTCAACCAATGTTTAAAGTCTTGTAGTGAAAAAGTCAACTAATTCTAAAAATAACCCCTGAAAATCTTGAATATTAAAGTATACAATGGAGAGCATTAATCCTCAATATTAAATGCAAAATCAGGGACAAGTAAATTTTGGATAAAAATAGTCTGAATACATTTCTCTTTCACCAAAAGTTTAATATCTGCAAATTTTTTTGTTAGTTTATGTAAACAATGACATCAAAGGCACTATTTTTTGTCAGAGTAGAGCTGTTTTATTTTCTATATTGGAGTGGGTGAATAAGTGGTCCGACACTTAAAGAGACATAAAAGTTTTTCAGAAGTCGTTTGTTTTGCTTTATTCTAAATCCTTGGTCAATATGTAGTAAAATAAATCATATCTTATCATATTGCAACTTATATTTGCAAAATGCAATGCTCAATTTGAACTGACTGTAATGTATGACTTTAATAGAAAATACTTGAAATTCAATTTCTGACAACAGGAACATAAACTTTCAACAACAAGATCAATTTAGGTTGATTTTTTTTCCTAATGCATTAAAGACTTTTTACAACCTTCACCATGAGTTTAGTAAAAAATCAAAGGTAATGAAGTGTCAAGGAATATTGCCATGCCCTCCTTTTTTCTTAGTTATCGGTAATGGACCATTAATTGATCAATAATACAGTTATGGTCATGAGTTGATTTCAAAACCTACAACCATATCAGGAACAATAATAGATCTTGTTTTCTCACTGCAACCACCAGATATACTGCTTAATATGGGACTTCTTATTAAGAATAGGCAAAGTATTACCCGGTTCCAGGTTGTCCCAGGCTGGATAATACTCAAAGAAACGGGTAATACTGTTTAAAGCTTGTTTTTTTACACAGAATAGTAAAGACTTGTTATAGTTTCATAGTATTATAGCTAAATATATACATTTTATACAGATAACCATTCAGAGTAATTTCAAGAGGATTGAAAATTCAATTTCTTCCTTTTCTCCAATAATTCTATGTAGGCAGAATACAAGATTTGCACATTTTAGGATACCTTGTAAATTTCCAAGCTTTGTTTCAATAAACCAAACTTTGAACACTTGTAGAAATGAAAAGGCTCCCAGAAGGCATTTCAACATTTCAACAAAGTTGAATCAACGTTGATCTGTAACGTTGAAAAGACGTTGAATTAACTGTTGGTTTTGAAAGGTTAGAACAGCGTTGAATATCTGACATTGAAACAACGTTATATTTTCAACATTGTATTGACGTTGATTTTTGATTGAATATAAGTCGAAACTTAACATTGAAACAACGTCACCCTAATATTGCAGCAACATTGTTTCATGTTGAAATAAGTAATTCATTGCTTGTTGTTGGTTCATCTGTCATATTTGTTTGTTGTTACAAATTTAGGCGGTTGTTTTTTCTCCTTTGAATTGTTTAAAACAAATTGTGTCCGAGTCTTCTATCGCAGACTATACGGTGTGGTGTTTCCTTATTGTTTAAGGCCGTTTAGTGACCTCCATGTCAATCGAACTCTGGTGGATATTTGTCTCATTGGCAATCATACCACATCTCCTTATATCTATAATACTTAGTAAACACAAAAGATATTGAAGCCACATGACTCTACAGAGGACATCAGCAAGATTTGATCTTTGAAAAAAACCCAGATGTGTAGGTATGACGAAAGCTCATATAGCCAAAAGGTGATCTGGTAAATGAATACAAATAATCTCTTTTAATTCATTTTTATACGACCGCAAAAATTTTTGGGGATCGTATAATGGTATGATGTCGTCGTCTACGTCGTCTGCGTCGTCTTCCGAAGACACATTGGTTTCCGGACAATAACTTTAGTTTAAGTTAATGGATCTCTATGAAATTTTTTAAGGAGGTTTAATACCACAAAAGGAAAGTTGGGATTGATTTTGGGGATGGTGGTCCCAACCGTTTAGGAATTAGGGGCCCAAAACAAACATTTTTCTAGTTTCAGGATAATAACTTGTGTATAAGTATTTCGATTGCTCTGAAATTGTACAACAATTTTTAATACCACAAGTAGAAGGTTGGGATTCATATAAGGGGTTATGGGGCAAACAGTTTAGAAATTAAGGGCCTAAAAGGGGCCAAAAAACAACAATTTTTGTAGTTTCCGGACAATAACTTGTGTGTAAGTGTATGGATCTCTCTGATATTGTACCATAAGGTTCCATATCACAAAGGGAAGGCTGGGATTGAGTTTGGGGGTAATTGCCTCAAACATGTAGGAATTAGAGGCCAAAAAAGGGCCAAAAACATGCATTATTCTAGTTTCCAAACAATAACTTGTGTTAGATGTGTATGGATCTCTCTGAAATTGTACTACAAGGTTCCATACTACAAAGGAAAGAATTGGATCGAGTTTTGGGGTAATTGCTCCAAGGGGGGATTCCAAAAGTTGCGGGGGGGGGGGGGGGGGGTGGGGGGTTCCAATTTTTTTTTTAAATTTTAAAATTTCAAATTTTGTAAAAGTTTCAAGAAGTAATCTTCAATTGCACAGTATTGCGCAAAATATTTGTAAGATCTTTTACCACATTTTTTTTGTGTCAGAGACCTATATTATGTCAAAATTCAGACAGTATCAAGCTTGAATATTATATCCAAATTTGCACCAACTGTTCAGGGTTCGACCTCTGCAGTTGTATCAGGCTGCGCTCAGCGAAGCATTTTATTAATATTTTCGTGAAAATGAATTGTAGTCTCCAAACTCCTCCAACCATTTCTGGTGCATATTCCTTCTTTAATTCAGCTTCTGTTATTTTTGTGTAGACATCCATTACTCTTCCTGAAAAGAAAACCACAAATAATATTTTGTAAACATAAGTTAACAATTATGTAGAACGTCAAAGGCAGGGAATAAAATGTTATATAAGGCCAGGTTTTTTTAATTAATTTACTGGTTTACAGAAACGTGGATTTGTTTTTACCATTTTTCGCTCCTGTACATGTACCAATGCCACCCATCTGGAGCACCAGGATCTATTGTTAAAATGCCACCCATCTGGAGCACCAGGATCTATTGTAACAATGCCACCGGTCTTATTGATTGCAGTTTATGTTTTAAATTTGATTATTCTCGTGTATCAGCTGTGTAGATACCGCACTTTCACATGCTGTGTCTTATCTATGTTTAAAATATATCTGGATAATAACAGATTAGTTAGTAGCATATTTCGATGAACGTCCCGGTTAGACGTCAATTTGAGCTTATATTTCTTTGGAATATTCCTCATTTTACTAAATAATGTGCAAAAAAATTAAAAGGCTTAATTGATTACAATTTTCTATAGCAAAATCCTTATTTATGAACTTTAGTTGATGCAACAACAAACGATGTACAACCATAATGATTCCTCTTAACACTGAAGGTGAATAATTTTTTACACCACTGCATACAATCTGTTTTCTCCATGAACCTCCATTGTCGACATGTCAACCAACATTAAACGTTGAAACAATATATTTACTTCAAAATTAAAAATATCAACCACATTTCAACGTTGAAATGACGTTGTGTGCCGGGTGGGCTGATTATTGTTAAATAAACAAATCTGTGTAATAATCTGAACAATTACTTATTAATTAGTGATGTACATATATACTGCTTAGTAAACATTTTTAGCAATGAACAAAAATTGTTAAAAAGTAATTTTCCTTACATATAATTGTTAATTCTTAATAGTTATATACATGTATATATATATTTTAAAAAATCAAATTGAATTCTTTGGCTTTATGTTAACAGTTTGGTTGACTAATCTTGACAGAATGTCGAATAAATAGATTTTTAGGAGGATTATTGAGAAAAGCTTTTCACATTTGTCTAATGTATCTTCATGTACACTTGTCTTAGAGTTGCTGGAACAATAGTTTCTCAGATTTATATATTTTATAATAAGAGTCTCAAACAAGTGAACTTATAAATTAAAATAATATTTTTATGCCACACCTACGATAGTAGAGGGGCATTATGTTTTTCGGTCTGTGTGTCCATTCGTTTGTCCGTCCATTCGTTCGTCTGTCCGTCCGTCCGTCCTGCTTCAGGTTAAAGTTTTTGGTCAAGGTAGTTTTTGATGAAGTTGAAGTCCAATCAACTTGAAACTTAGTACACATGTCCCCCATGATATGATCTTTCTAATTGTAATGCCAAATTAGAATTTTGACCCCAATTTCATGGTCCACTGAACATAGAAAATGATAATGCGAGAACTATGGACACATTCTTGTTTATTTTTATAAATATCATTAATATATTGCATTTGTGATTAATCATTGAATTCTCTTTAGAATTCAGGCCAGTTTTCACATGTTTCATATTACCCAGTATTACCTGGTAAAACCCAGTAAAACACGGTTTTCACAGTATTTCCCTCTGGACTGGGCAATAAATATAAGTTTTGCCAACTCTGCTTCTTAATGGGACCATCATATTATGATTTTTTTGTTTCAATGAAATAACTTTTATGTTTTAGGTAAATAACAACCTTTATAATATCATAATCACAGGCACTTGTCTCTGATTTTTTTTTACATATATACCTTAATATATTAATAAACAAATTTTGATGCATCAGTTTCGATATAATAAGATATTTTTTCTGGTCTTATATACTTTTACCATCTTATTTCTGAGATTGATTCTGCTGATAAAAACATTTTTTCATCAAAATTATCACCAGAAGCTGCAAGAGCTTGGACTTTATCTCTATTTAGGTATCTATAAAATAAAGGTGCCAACTTGGCGTCCGTCGTCCGTCGTCGTCCGTCATCGTTAACTTTTACAAAAATCTTCTCCTCTGAAACTACTTGGCCAAATTAAACCAAACTTCATCATTGGGGTATCTAGTTTAAAAAATGTGTCCGGTAACCTGGCCAACCAACCAAGATGGCCGCCATGGCTAAAAATAGAACATAGGGGTAAAATGTAGATTTTGGCTTATATCTCTGAAACCAAAGCATTTAGAGCAAATCTGACATGGGGGTAAAATTGTTAATCAGGTCAAGATCTATCTGCCCTGAAATTTTCAGATGAATCAGACAACCCGTTGTTGGGTTGCTGCCCCTGAGTTGGTTATTTTAAGGAAATTTTGCCGTTTTTGGTTATTATCTTGAATATTATTATAGATAGAGATAAACTGTAAACAGCAATAATGTTCAGCAAAGTAAGATCTACAAATAAGTCAACATGACCAAAATGGTCAATTGACCCCTTAAGGAGTTATTGCCCTTTATAGTCAATTTTTAACCATTTTTCGTAAATTTTTGTAATCTTTTACACAAATCTTCTCCTCTGAAACTACTTAGACAAATTTAACCAAACTTTTCCACAATCATCATTAGGGTATCTAGTTTAAAAAATGTGTCCGGTGACCCCGCCCCATACCAAGATGGCCGACATGGCTAAAAAATAGTACATAGGGTAAAATGCAGTTTTTGGCTCATATCTCTGAAACCAAAGCATTTTGAGCAAATCTGACGAGGATAAAATTGTTGATTAGGTCAAGATCTATCTGCCCTGAAATTTTCAGACCAATCAGGCAACAGGTTGTTGGTTTGCTGCCCCTGAATTGGTAATTTTAAGAAAATTTTGCCGTTTTTGGTTATTATCTTGAATATTATTATAGATAGAGATAAACTGTAAACAGCAATAATGTTCAGCAAAGTAAGATCTACAAATAAGTCAACATGACCAAAATGGTCAATTGACCCCTTAAGGAGTTATTGCCCTTTATAGTCAATTTTTAACCATTTTTCGTAAATTTTTGTAATCTTTTACACAAATCTTCTCCTCTGAAACTACTTAGACAAATTTAACCAAACTTTTCCACAATCATCATTAGGGTATCTAGTTTAAAAAATGTGTCCGGTGACCCCGCCCCATACCAAGATGGCCGACATGGCTAAAAAATAGTACATAGGGTAAAATGCAGTTTTTGGCTCATATCTCTGAAACCAAAGCATTTTGAGCAAATCTGACGAGGATAAAATTGTTGATTAGGTCAAGATCTATCTGCCCTGAAATTTTCAGACCAATCAGGCAACAGGTTGTTGGTTTGCTGCCCCTGAATTGGTAATTTTAAGAAAATTTTGCAGCTTTTGGTTATTATCTTGAATATTATTATAGATAGAGATAAACTGTAAACAGCAATAATGATCTACAAATAAGTCAACATGACCAAAATTGTCAATTGACCCCTTAAGGAGTTATTGCCCTTTATAGTCAATTTTTTACAATTTTCATAAATTTTGTAAATTTTTACAAAATATTTTCCACTGTAACTACTGGGCCAAGTTCATTATAGATAGAGATAATTGTAAGCAGCAAGAATGTTCAGTAAAGTAAGATCTACAAACACATCACCATCACCAAAACACAATTTTGTCATGAATCCATCTGTGTCCTTTGCTTAATATGCACATAGACCAAGGTGAGCGACACAGGCTCTTTAGAGCCTCTAGTTTGCTGATGGAAACAGACCAATTAAGTGTGCTACTGATCTAATTGACAATGATTTTGAAGTTAATATATCTGAACAAGATTTTAAAATTTTTTCAATTTTGTCGTCAGGCAAATATACCTTGAAAGTTACAGAGTCAATAACATGTCCTAAATACTTTATCCTTGTAGAGGGTACTAATGAGGACTTTTCATAATTTATATAGAACCCAACTTTTGAGAGCATGGTGATCAAAATACCAGCTTGAGATTGACATAGTTTTGATGAATTAGCTTCGATAAGTGAATCATCAATATAATGAAATGCTGAAATTCCCATCTTTCTAATATGTGAAAATATAACCTTCATTAGTTTTGTAAAAACTCTTGGAGCTGATGAAATTCCAAAACATAAACAGTTGAATTGATAAAGTTTTCCTTTCCATTGAAATTTTAAATATTTTCTATATGATTCATCAATTGACACTGAAAAATATGCATTTTGGAGATCAAGTGACACAAAATATGAGTGTTTCTGAACTGAATTTAAGACATTTTCTATGGTCTCCATTTTAAAATGATGATATTCAATAAAATGATTAAGTCTTTTCAAATTAATAACCGGACGAAAACTGCCATTTTTCTTTTTCACCAAAAATATATTAGATAAAAATTCTTTATTTTCATGCTTACATTCAGATATAGCACCTTTTTGTAATAAATCTGATACTTCATCATCAACTATTGCATTTTGCATTTTACCAAAATCTATCACTTTAGGAGCAGTGAGTACAAATGTATACTGAAAAGGATCTTTCCAAAATTCAATACAGTAACCCTGAATTGTTTCTAAAATCCATTTATCGGATGTAAGCTTTTTCCATTCTTTCTTTTTTGTTTGCAAAGTACCTGCTTTAAAAGTAACATTTACACTTACGCTTACATTTGAAATTTTCACCTGTAAGACCCTCTTGGTCTTCTTTGGTAGCCTCTGTGGTAGCCTCGCCCTCTTGGCGGATACCACTAGGATGCCTGGCCCCTCATACTGGGCCTTCCTCTTGAGTTATATACGACCGCAAAAAAATTTTGCGGTCATATATTGGTATGACGTTGGTGTCGTCGTCGTCCGAAGACACATTGGTTTTCGCACTCTAACTTTAGTTTATGTGAATGGATCTCTATGAAATTTTACCATAAGGTTCAATACCACAAAAGGAAGGTTGGGATTGATTTTGGGGGTTATGGTACCAACAGTTAAGGAATTAGGGGCCAAAAAGGGGCCAAAAACAAGCATTTTTGTCACTTCCAGACATAACTTGTGTGTTAGTGTATGGATCTCTTTGACATTGTACCACAAGGTTCCATATCACAAAGGGAATGCTGGGATTGATTTTGGGGGTAATTACCTCAAAATTTTAGGAATTAGGGGCCAAAAAAGGGAAAAAAAACCAAGCATTTTTCTAGTTTCATGACAATAACTTGTGTGTAAGTGTATGGATCTTTCTGAAATTGTACTACAAGGTTCCATATCATAAATGGAAAGCTGGAATTGAGTTTGGGGGTAATTGCCCGAAACGTTCAGGAATAAGGGGCCGAAAAGGGGCCAAAAATAAGCATTTTTCTAGTTTCCAGAGAATAACTTGTGTTCAAGTGTATGGATCTCTCTGAAATTGTACTGCAGGGTACTATATAACAAATGGAAGGCTGGGATTGATTTTGGGGGTAATTGCCTCAAAATTTTAGGAATTAGGGGCCAAAAACGGGGCAAAAAACAAGCATTTTTCTAGTTTCATGACAATAACTTGTGTGTAAGTGTATGGATCTTTCTGAAATTGTACTACAAGGTTCCATATCACAAAGGGAAAGCTGGAATTGAGTTTGGGGGTAATTGCCCGAAACATTCAGGAATAAGGGGCCAAAAATAAGCATTTTTCTAGTTTCCAGAGAATTACTTGTGTTCAAGTATATGGATCTCTCTGAAATTGTACTGCAAGGTACCATATCACAAATGGAAGGCTGGGATTGATTTTGGGGGTAATTGCCTCAAAATTTTAGGAATTAGGGGCCAAAAAGGGAAAAAAAAACAAGCATTTTTCAGAGTCAAAGAGTGCATCTACACATGCAAATTATCATTTTTGTAAAGTTTCATTAAGTTTGGAGCGTTTTGAAATTTTGGACATTTTTGCTGTTGCCATGGTTACAGTGGATAATTCCAAAATTCTAAAAGCAGACATCTCATTGCCACATGTCATGTTATATATCAATACAGTTTCATTGACTTTGGTGAAATACTCTTTAAGAAAATGCTGATTTTATACATTTTCCCACAGGGTCAATGTTAAACTTGCCCCCAGTTTCCATGACAACAGCGGCCATTTTGGAGTATCCAAATATCATCTTGGCATCTTGGCATACTGGGTAACATTTTCATTAAGTTTCATCCAGTTGGGTCTTATAACAAAAGAGTTAGAATTTTTGATATTTTAGCTGTTTCCATGGTAACGGCAGCCATTTAGAAAATTCCGAAAAAACTCCAAATCAGCACATGCCAGTTACCATTTCTGTGGAATTTCTTCCAGTTTGGAACACTTTGATTTTTTTCGCATTTTTGCTGTTTCCATGGAAACGGCGGCCATTTTTTACCATTCCATAGCAAGGTGCACAACTTAACATGGGGGTCCTCATTATAGTAGAGTTCCATCAACATTGATCCATTGGATTCCAAGAACTCGCGCGGACAAAATTTGTGCAAGAAAAATAATAAGAAAAAAAAGAAACGTAGAATAACAGTATGTCACCCCAACTCCATTGAGGGTGCCATAATGATAAGGTTTGAATAGGTAAATCAAAATTTTTATGTTCTTAGACCACATTCATTCTGTGTCAGAAACCTATGCTGTGTCAAATATTTAATCACAATCCAAATTCAGTGCTGTATCAAGCTTGAATGTTGTGTCCATACTTGCCCCAACTGTTCAGGGTTCGACCTCTGCGGTCGTATCAAGCTGCGCCCAGCGGAGCATTTTATTGACATCTGTGGTCGATATTGACGGATATTAGAAGCATCACTTATTTCCTTCATTCTTTTTCCTACATCATTAGGGAAAAGTTGTTCTATTGGGCAGCTTGATGAGCAAAGCTGTTGAAAGCGTTTGTTAACATATGGTCGAATAAAGTACATTCTTTTGATATTTAACTCAAAAAACGTATTACATGAGAGAGCCAAGGCCTGAGCCACATACTGTTTTGCCTTTGATAAGTCAAAACGACAAGTTTTAAGCATTTCAGTGAGATTGATCAGAGGAACAATAGCCATGCCCAATACTTTTTGAACGTCCTGAAGACTTTTATCACGTTGTTGAATGTTACTGAACAAGCAACTCCAGATTTCTGGATTTATCAGAGGAGGCACCAGACTTTTACAATTCACTGGAATTTGTGTTTCTTTTATGAAAGAAGATACATCAGCTTTTTGCGTGCATGCAGAAGTTACAAATATTTTTTGAGGAATCGTCAGATACGGCCTCTGAAAACTTCGTTTGGTCATTAAAGATTTTAGGCATTTCAAAGTCTTGTACTTCAGAATTATCAATAACAAATTGTTCCGAAAGCTGATTATGATTGCTAAATACGTTATCAATATTTAACTGCCTCTCGGGCACACCAACAGAATCAAAATCATATTCTGAGACTTTGTAAAATTGTTGATTTTCATCAATTTCCAGTTCACATGTACCGGTCTTGCTAGTACTTGGAACTTCGTCAGAAGTACGCTTAAAGTATTCAGATACTAAATCAGCAATTAAACTAGGATCAATAGCATAAATCTTCTTAGACTTAGGCTCTGACTTACGTTTTTTCATTGGTGCTTTACCCTTTACGTTCTTTCCGGGACCTTTCCCTGGGCCTTTTTTCCCCGTCTCGAACCCGACCTCGTCGTGGCTCCTTAGTAACCTTAACTTTTTCTTCAGTAATAACGGCAGTTTTTCTTACACTCTTGTTCTTTCATTCTGGGTTCATTTTCAAAACCCGAAAAACTTGCATCTAGTTCGTTCTCTGAGTCAAACAATTTAACTGCTTCTGTGGTGTCCATACGGGATTTTTCACCTTCACTCTCAGACATAATCGAACTTATATCGCTACATGACCGAGCCATCGGCAACGGAGAAAGTTGAAACTAATATATTAAATTTGGAAGAGAAACGTTCTTCACTTCACGTGGCCTTTGTGACAAAAAAGCGCGGGGACATGGATGTATTGGCTTATATATCATGCTGGCAATCACCCGTGCATGAAATCTTTTATTTCTTTAAATAGCAAAGACACGTGGCTATTTTGTTGACAGATATTCACATTAAACACGAAGCATCCAGGCTTTATGATAAATAATAGATAGATAGAAAGAAACTTAAGAAGACAAAAATAATAGCACAAAATTGTCCAATTTTTGTGTTGCCTCACTCCACTCTGCTGTACATATTTAATTTTCTGGAACTAAGCCCCCCTTCCAAAAATCCTGGATCTCCCCCTGTGAGTTATATCCCATGAGGGGGAGGTTAAGCTTGATTTACAGAAAAATACATCTTTTTACATTGTTCACATGACATTTCGTACATATATTGAGTTCATTACCTACACCTGGATATACTATTGAATTAGTGACTGAAAAATTGAAATGTCAATTATGCTGAGAATTTTAAGGTAAGATGACCTTCACTGTTATGTAGCGTCTTAAGCTTGTTTCTGGACAGTTTCATAGAATTAACTAAAGTTGTTGGATGAATTAATATGATGGCATGTTTTTCATAAGACTGTTCATCAGATAATGACATTATTACCAACTACCACTAACCAGTAACAAATGTATTAAGTCATGCACGTATAATGTGCTAATGAAGCTAGAAAAAAAAATTGGGTTCTTAAATTGCTATTTTTTTTGTAGAATCAGTGAACTGCAGCTTTTCAAACAGTGAAAAAATAGAAATAATTACTGTTCCTGAAAGAATTGTAACTGTATCAGCTAGGACATCTTTGTCAACAGAATTATCTTACAAAGAAAAGGAAGACATAATGATACCTCCAAGATTATCTTCAGAGTCACAGCCAGCCAAAAAGGTAGCAATTTATGTAATTTAACAATATAGCATTATACATGTTCCTTCATGAATGGCTTTTACAGGGGTCTGGAAATGCTATGTCTGACTAGTCCGACTCTTTCATTTGAACAACCAGACAAGTATTTTGTTTTATCTGGGTTGCCCGTGGACAAGTAAAAAATTGCATTTGACTACATTTAATTAAAAATATAGAATAATTTTCACAACTTATTAAGATGTATAACTTTATGTAAAAGAAACTAATGATCAACACGTGAAAAACATATATTTAAGTCAAAACAAAAAATGGCAACAAGACATTCCAGACGTCTTGGCTTACAAATTCACCTGACTATCCAGTGAAGAAACTTCTGAAATTTAATTAAATTTTTGCACAATTTGTAGGAAACACCCACAACTTGCTGGTCAAAGTCTTACTCATTTTTTGGCAAATTAATAGATAGGACTTTCAATGTTCTGCAAAACACCAAGCTTGTCAGATGAAAGAAAACAATAAAATTGAATAGGTGTCTGGGGAAATGGACAAAACAGTAATTGCCTTCCAGATTCAATTTTGTTGTTATGCTTTTGGGTTTCTGTCTCATTTATGTTAACCCCATACCTCCTTTTATGCATAAACAAATATCACAAACATCATTTATATTGTGATACAAAACAGTTTTAAGAGTCACACAAGCTTACAGTAAAAAGTAAAATAACAAAAACACCGAACTCCAAGGAAAATTCGAAACGGAAATTCCCTTATCAAATGGCAAAATCAAAAGTTCAAACACATCAAACGAATGGAAAACAACTGTCATATTCCTGACTTGGTACAGGCATTTCCATATTAAGAAAATGGTGGATTAAACCTGGTTTTATAGCTAGCTAAACCTCTCACTTGTATGACAGTCGCATAAAATTCCATTATATTGACAACAATGTGTAAACAAAACAAACAGACATAATAGGTAAAAATGTCAAAAAAATAAAATACTCCAATATTCATTGTGAAATTCAGGGCAAATTACTTTTTTTCCGGACAAGTAAAATTTACAGTTTAACTTACCCAGGGACAAGTGTTCACAACAAGTATTTCCACACCCCTGTTTTACAACAATAGTTAAAACTGTTCCATGAAGCCAGAGTTTGTAGGTAACATTTAGGACTTAAGGTCAATTAAATGACCTTTGTGTAAAAACAGTCATTTGTCAAAACATCTTTATTCAAGAAAATAACATCATCAATATGTATGGCAATACAAATTAAATGTGAGCAGGAGGACAACTGTCAGTGCAGGACTGTGGGTCCAACAGTCCAAAAACTGTTGCCCAACAACAGATACTTCCAAAACAGTTTTATAGCAATGTCCATAGTTTGAAATAAAACAATTAATCAAGATAATACATGTACTGGTAGTTAGAATTTTTTTTTTATTATTTAAAAAAAATGGGATAGAAGGACTATTGCTAATTACATTTTTGAATTTAAAAAAGTATTTCTTTAATTGCATAATTTTTTTTTTACATTTCCATAAATAAACACACTAACGGGAGAGGGTTAAGATTTAACAATGGAGCATGTTATTGTGCCTGTCCCAAGTCAGGATCCTAGTCAGTAGTTGTCGTATGTCATATCTTAATGTTTTTTTGGTGTTTGGAGAATTAAGTGATAATGGCAGATATTACATTGGTTCTGTTAAATTTATATACTGGGGAATATTAACAACTTGACAATTTTTGTGTAGAGACCTGTCTATTTTTGAAACTGTATGTTTGTGCTAGATTTCTTTTGTTAATTTTGTCATTTATGTATACCCCACATCTTCTTGTATACATATATATATAATACAAGTTTTCCACTAGACATAATTATAGAATAAGTAAAACAACACTGAGTAATACCACATCAATATAAAAATAAGAAGATGTGGTATGATTGCCAATGAGACAACTCTCCACAAGAGACCAAATGACACAGAAATTAACAACTATAGGTCACTGTACGACCTTCAACAATGAGTAAAACCCATACCGCATAGTGACATAGCCCCGAAATGACAAATGTAAAATAATTCAAATGAGAAAAATAATGGCCTGATTTAGTTTTCTTTAGACTTCTTGTGAATTGTCATACTGACTTAATTGAGAATTTTTGTTGACAGGATTTTTTTTTTCTTGTGTTGAAATACACATAGGGAACGCATTTTACATTATGGTAGTAATTAAACCATTTTTAGCTCACCTGACCCAACAGGCCAAGTGATCTTTTCTCATCAGTTATTGTCCGTTGTCGTCCCTCGTCATTGGTTAACTTCTACAAAAATATTCTCTTTTTAATAGTCCAGTGGATAAGTGGAAAGTTTTGTTTTATTTTTAATTTTTTTTTTATTATTTATAACTTCCTATTTACAGCATAATATACACAAATATAATAAGTTATTAACAATATATAATGTATTGGCAAATTATTCCACAAGAATCAGGTCTCTACAATAACTTTTTTTTCAACTTGCCCAATAGGACAAGTACATACCAAAACTTGCTTGTCGGAATGGAATTGTAACTTGTCCAAAAAAAATCTTAATATTTAGCTTTTTTGCATTTTAAGTTGATTTAATGAACAAAATAATTAAAACAATAGAAAAGAATTTGATTTATATCTCTTGATATCCTTTTAAAAAATATGAGTCGAGAACAACTGAATCTAGTCAGTTCACAAGACTTAGGTTATAGTTTTCATCAATGCCAAAGTCTAATCAGACTCTGCAAATGAGACACAGTCTGGTAGGCCTGTCAGTCTACACTCATTTGGTTTGTTTCCTGGTCTTTTATGTTGATAAAATATTGATTATGATTATTGCCTTACTACAATCAGCTTTGTTTTTAATATATTAAAATGTTTATTCAAACACAATCAAGTATTATTTTGTCTACATATGATAAAAATATGATTTTATGAATTTTATGGTCAATAATTTCTTCATTTTCATTTTAAAAATATTTTTGTTAAATAAAATTTATCATATTTATTATAAAGCAACAGCATAAGGTAGGGAAACGAAGTAATGGTTTGTCTTGGTCCCGAAATGTCTTCTACGGTGCGGTCCGTCAGACTGGATTCTGAGAATAATTTGCATTTCATCTGTTATAAATTATCTGACAAAGAACCAGTTTCAAGTTTCAAGTAAACTTGTCAAATGAATATTTGTTTTTATCTTTTCTTGTTTTTGTTTATTACTTTGATCATCAAAGTTGGATTTTAATTTATTTTCTACAGAATGATTTTACTTGTCCCTTCGGACAAGCTTGATATGGCTTTTACTTGTCCGACCTTTTTTTCCTCTGGTACCGGACAATCAGACAAGCCTTATTGTCGAGCCCTGAGAATGGTCCAGAATAAAAGATTTCTTGAACAATTCTATTTTTGGTTTAGGGAGTATGAGGTTTCCTTGAACAGCATTTCTCAAGGGGTATGGATTTCTGTCTGAAACATAATGAAACTTGCTAATAAGATATGATTGGGCATCATTTTTGATGCACTTATATAATTAAATGTCATCACAAACTTGTGATATTTTATTCTCTGTTCAACTGTCATCCAGTTTAAGTGTTTGAAAAAGGGCTCGGAAGGAGCGAAAGGGTCTGTTTCTAGTATTATTCTAGCAGCTCTCTTTTGTAATTTTAATATCCTATTTAAACACTCACTGCTACAACTACTCCACACTATACAACAATAATCAATTAGTGGTAAGATATAACCATTATAGAATAATTTTCTGCAGTCTAGATATAGAAATTTCTTAATCTTTAATAGTAGATATAGCCTAGATGAAATTTTTGAGCAGATCAAATCAATTTGGTTTGTCCATGTGAGGGAAGGGTCAATTTTAATACTATAAGCAATAGGTCAACTATATTTGATGCATGGAATGATTTTAAGGTGTACATGTCTGTCTGGCAGGGTTCATCTGACCTTGAATTCATTTTCATGGTTCATTGGTCAATATAGAATTTCCATGGTTTGGTCTGTTTCTTTTATACTATAAGCAATAGGTCATCTATATTCTGAGTATGGAATGATTGTATTAAAGGTGTACATATATTTCCGCCTTGGTTTATCTGACCTTTACCTCATTTTCTTGGATCATAAATGTTAATGTGAAACTTGTAGTATAACTTTATATGTAGGACTATCAACATAAAATCAATGGTGAGTAAAGTAGGCGAGACATTTCAGCGTGTGCACTCTTGTTCTTGTTGGGATGGGTTAAGACTGTGAATACATTTCCACAAATCTTTTGAAGCTTTTGAATTTTTTACCATCTTTGAATAAAAATTTCTTTTAGATTCATCAATTATGTGTTTTGTCCTGTTTCGCCAAAATTTGAACTCAGACCACATTCCTAGTCTATGGTATTTCTCTCTCATTTTCCTGGCATATATAATTTCATTATTGAATCATTCAGTTTGTCTGCCTCTTTTTACTCTTTTAGTAACAATCGGTGCATGTCTATCTAGAACTCCATTAAATATGTCATACCACATCTGAATACATGTATTTGGGTGACTTTCATGTTCAATTTTATCAAAAGGTGCAGTAGCTAAGTCACTTGGAAAATTTGTCTCATTGAATTTTTTAAAGTTTCTGTAAGAAATGGTAGTATGAATATCTTTTTATGCCCCCGCCGTAGCGGTGGGGGCATTAAGTTTTACCCTTGTCCGTCTGTACGTACGTACGTACATCCGTCCGTACGTCCCAAAATTGGTTTCCGTTCTCTAACTTTAGTTTGCCTCAACCAAGTGTTATGAAACTTATACACAATGCTTATTACCACAAAACACAGATCAAGTTTGAATTTTGGTGGCGTCACTTTAACCGTTCTAGAGTTATGCCCCTTTGTAAATGGAAAAATTGCAAAATATTTAGTTTCTGTTCTCTAACTTAAGTTTGCCTCAGCCAAATGTTATGAAACTTATACACAATGCTTATAACCACAAAACACAGATCAAGTTTGTA